CCTTAAAAGGCCAGGGCCTGCCGGCAGGCCCGAAGTTTTATTACACACTTCTATAACCTAAGAAGAGCACAACCATTTTGTTAATGTCTGAATGAAATCACCCAATTACATTCATTTGTGTAGAGTTACGACAGAATGTCACCCAACTGTTGCAGTAAACAAATGCTTTCCGCACTTTGAAAAATGGCTTAATGCCAGTGCCTGTTTTAATGTGGTGCTGCAGAGCTGAAGGTTTTGTTGCTTATGAAGAGTGATTCATTTTTGTCAGTAATATACTGTTGCATTCAGTTTCTCTCTGCACTTACCTCAGATTTCATAGTGCAAGAGCCCACTGTCGTTGCCTTACGTACAACAGCCAGTTAGGAAAGTGCCCTCAGTGGAGGAACAGGTTAAATTAATGCACGCTATGGTGTATCTTGGAGGACACAGCAAGATGGAAGCTTTACAACCAGCCTTGTTTATATCAGTCTTTCAACATTTATTTAAACATAAGTACATTTAGAATGTTTTCATATGTGGTATAACAAGCATAATTAATGACACAGAGAGACTAAAGTTAAAATTGAGTTTAAGCAACTAAGCAACTAAAGCCATTAAAAAAAGAAACTTACGACATAAAATAATGAAGGTGAACAACTCAGAAAAATTGCTGCACCTATATATTCACATGTGGTTGGTAAATTTGCTTCACCCACCAGACACTGTGGCTAGTTACCCAACATAAACTCTATAAGATCAGCTTAGAGCTCAGACTGATTATACATACATAAATACATACTTACATACATACATACATACATACATACATACATACATCATCTAAACCGCTTATCTTTCTGGGTTGCGGTGGGGTGCTGGAGCCTATCCCAGCTGTCATTGGGCAGAAGGCAGGATACACCCTGGACAGTTTGCCAGTCCATTGCAGGGCAGACAGACAGACATACACATTCACACACACACTCACACCTAGGGGCAATTATAGCATGTTTTGGACTGTGGGAGGAAACCGGAGTACCCAGACAAAACCCACGCAGACATGGGGAGAACATGCAAACTCCACACAGAAATGATCCTGGTCGCCCGGCTGGGAATTGAACCCAGGCCATTCTTGCTGCACCACCGTGCCGCCCTAGACTGATTATAATGTTGTTAAAACAAAAAACTGAGTGCTGCATGCAAGAGGAACTATCCAAACAATAGCAAGATGCAGCATGAAAACTGCACACTGTATGTGCATGACTTTAATTTAGTTTTAACCAACTTCTCTGTTCTTCTAACTTTGACGAATATTTAGCTAAATCTGCCTTTATGGATTCATTCAGAACACAGCAGTAGCCACACACATACACACATGCAGTATCTGGATCCAGGACGTCCTGAGCAGGGTTCCAACACTGCTCCTTCACCCGTAATTTTCCCAGTTCGCCAGGTACTGTACCTCCCTCCTCTTATTCTGGAGTCCACCACCGATGAACAGCATACACAGGAGCTCCATCCAAATCCTCTGATGTCAGGCACAGCCCCTCCATTTATCCAGGAACCAGTGCCTTGTGAAGGGAGAAATGAAAAAATTGGGAGACACGATAATGTGTGGGCAAACCAAGTATATAAGTAACCTCATCAATTTTCTTGAGAATCTTAAATGGGCCAGTGTACTTTAGATTAAGTTTCTTATTCCCCTCTGCAAACCTGAAATCTCTAGTCGACAGCCAAACCCAATCTCCAGGCTGATAGGTGGGGGATTCTCACCGATGACGGTCCGCTTGTCTTTTGTGTAATTGCAAAGCAGTCTCAATGTGTTGATGACTCTCTTCCCAACCTTTTCCCTGCATTGCATCCAACTATGACATGTATGGACATTAGAAACAATAGCGGTCCATGCGGCCATTGGAGGTTGATAACCTAAAACACACTGAAATGGAGTCATGCCAACAATAAAGAATTCGGAGCCATTTCAGCCCAAACCAGGAAACGTGACCAGTCTATGGGGTTATGAAGACAAAAATCCTTAAAAATTTACCAAGTTTTTGATTCACACTTTCACACTGTCCATTCGATTGTGGGTGATCATCTGAAGTCCAACTCAAACAAAAACCAATATGTTCAAAGAGTGATAACCAAACTTGAGAAGTAAATTGAGGACCACGATCAGAAAGAATGTTTTCAGGTATACCAAAAAATCTGATTTGAATAGGCAAAGTTTCAGAACTATCTGTCCACAATAATGACTGTAGTGTAGTGGTAATGTTTTGGGGTTTTTACATTGTGAGCAGGTGGAGCACGAGGACACAAATTTGTGTACATCAGTAGTTTGACAAGGGCTTGACAAGGGTCTTAGGCATTTAGCCATACATAGATATTCAAGATTCTTATGGTGAGTGAAGACAACAAAAGGGTAATTAGCACCCTGTAACCAATATCTCCATTCCTTAAGGGCCAGTTTCATGGCCAGGTATTCGCAATCACCTATCCCCACAACAGCTGCTTAGCAGCACCATTAGAGGCATAGAAGAAAATGCCAAAATGCTCTATGGTCAGACTAAAAAAATCAGCCAGGAACAGGTTTGCAAAACCACAGTGATGAAATTAGAAATTTTTAAATAATTAATGATTGGAATAATTATTTGTTGAAGTAGTTGGGATCTAAATCAAATGCAGATTTATTATTTTGCAACACATTTCAAATGAGACCACTGCTGAAAAAAACAGCACAGACTAGCATGAATTCCATGCTAGTTTGCAAACTGGTTTCCTAGCTGGTTTATTCTGGTTGGATGCTGGTCTGGTGCTCATTTAGCTGGTCACCCAGCAACACAACATGTTGGAACACAACAGCCAAAACACAACATATGCTGGTTTTGCTGCTGATCAGCATTTTGCTGTTGTTTTTGTTTGTTTTTAGTTTTGTTTTCCTAGCAGGGACTTTAAAAGACAACTAAGCAAACTGCAAAAAACACAGCATCTTCCTGCTTAAAGACATTGTTGTATTTCAGTTGTGTTTTGTCACAATCATGGAGGTATTTGGCTGCATAAGGCTGAAGACCCCTCTGCATGTTGCTGCTCTGGATGGAGAACTTGTAGGATCCGGACTCATCACTACGAGAACTGAATTGATTAGACTATGTACTAGCATTAGAGCAACTGAGAGGAGCTCATTATTTTGCCAATTTTTTATTTATTTATTTTTTTTTGTTCAGTGCCTACAATTTAGTAAGAATCAGAGAGGGTGACGAATGAAAGACCACGTTCCTCATCACTGAGGGACAGTACAAATATTTCTTCATGCTGTTCGGTCTGTCAAATGCTCCATCCTCGTTTCAAACCTTCATGAAAAACGTACTTCATTACGTGATTGGAAGGTTTGTCATTGCATTCACAGATGACATTAATATCTCATTAGATCTAGATTCCCATGTAAGTGGGAATCTCAGATGGCTTCTGGAGAACTGTTTGCATGTTAAAGGGAGAAATGTGAATTTCATTTACAAAACGGTGTCCTATTTGGGTTAATGCTAATCGGGGGTGTATTGGATGATCATAAAGTTGATGCTGTAGTGAACTGTCCCTGTCTTTCTTCTCTGAGAGAACTTCAGCGTTTTTTAGGCTTTGCCAACTTTTTAAGAATTTCAGCAGCACCCCTCATGGCCCTATTAAGCGAAGCGCTCAAACCTGCCCTCTAAAACACCCAGATCCTTCTAAACCATTTATAGTAGAGGCGGTTGCTTCAGAGACCAGGGTGGGAGCTGTTTTGTCACAAAGGTCAGGTGAAACTAAATTGCATCCCAAAGTGCTCTTTTCACATTAGCTGATGCCAACTGAGGGTATTTACGTGATTGGGCATAGTGAACTATTAGCTGTCAAACTTGCCTTAGAAGAATGGCGACACTGGCTAGAGGGAGCTAATTATCCCCTCACCATCTTGACTGATCATAAGAACTTAGAATATCTACGTACAGCCAAGCATCTCAACCCCCGTCAGACACGCTGGTCTTTATTCTTTTAACAATTTAACTTTCACATATGCTATCACCCAGGCTTACACAATACTAAAGCTGATGTATTATCTCACCAGATTCAGGAGGATTTACACAGCTCTTAAGAACCCAAGAACATTCTGCCACCACATATTACAATTTCCTCTATCTGATGGGAATTATATGAAGAAATAGAAAAGGCATTAGAAGGTATAAATATTCCTGAGCAGTGCCCTGCTGACAGGCTTTATGAACCAACACATTCAGAGACAATATTAGACATTTACACCTTTGTGTCAACTTGCTCTGTATGCACTCAATGTAAGACATCTAAGACACTCTCAGCTGGCAAATTAATGCCATTGCCAGTCCCAAACAGACCCTGGTGCCATATAGCCCTTGACTTTGTTACAGATCTTCCTTTTACTTAAGGCTTTACCTATATATCTACTGTGATTGATAGATTTTCAAGAAGTGTTAGGTTAATTTCTTTGCCCTCCTTGCCCACCACCTTTCAGACTGCAGAGGTGTTAGTGAATCAGGTTTTTCATTATTTTGGTATTCCCAAAGACATATCAGACAGAGGCCTTCAATTTACCTCACAAGTGAGGTCTGCTTTCTTTGAGAATATCAGAGTTTCTTTTAGTTTGACGTCGGGATACCACCTTCAGTCAAATGGAAAGTGTGAACAAACTAATCAAGTGGCTCCATGGACCAGACTCTCTTCCAACGTTCCAGATGACTGGATGTGATGCAGTGAGGAGGTCTGGGAAGAAATACGTCAAAGAATTGAAGCAGTTCTGAGGCGCTATAAGCAACAGGCTGACCGTCACCGTGGTGACACGCCCTCCTACCAGCGAGGAAACCAGGTGTGGCTGTTGACTCAGGACTTCAGGTTGGCAGAGGGAAGTAAGAAATTACACCCTAAGCACATTGGTCAATTCAAGATTAAAGTTGTTAAATATAAACTTGATTTAAATTTGCATTACTGGGTATCTAGTTCATTCCATGAATCTCTGCTTAAACCTGTTGTCCCTGGTCCGTTGGACAAGGCTTCATCTGCAGATGCGCCGCCTCCTCTGGGGGAGGTCAACAGGACCCTGGTGTATGCTATTCGTGAGCTGCTGGACTCAAAGGGGAGGTCGATTGCAGTACCTGGTCGACTGAGAGGGGTATGGTCCCAGAGGAGCAGTGCTGATTACTGGCTGAGGATATTGTGGACCCAGGGTTGACTGCTGATTTTCACAGTTGGTATCCCGGATAAGCCCACTTCTTGTCCCAGAGGCCATCCTAAGAAAGTTCCTTCTGGGAGGAGCACCTTCCAGCGCAGCAACAACACTGGATCAGTGTCCAGCTGTGCCTCTGGTAGTGTGGGTGGTGGTTATCAAACTGGGCTTTGTTCCCGGACTCCTTGCCCTTGCCTATACCACAGAGACCATGGTTACATTTATCCATAGACATAGGTCACATAGGTTTTACTACCATTTTAGTAGTGGTAGATTGTTTCTCTCTCATGTCACTTTATTCCATTTGCCAACCTTCATTTGCCTTTAAGATGGCTGAAGCCATTATTAATTAAGTCTTCGGCTATTTCGGTATACCAGAGGATATTGTCTGACAGGGATCCCCATTTCACGTCATCCAGTGTATTCTGGATTGGCTAGGGGTGATGGTTAGCCTTATGTCTGGGTATCATCCTCAGGCTAATAGACAAGTGGAACACACCAACCAGGAGCTGGGGAGGTTTCTTCAGACCAACTGTCGTGACCAGCCTCACAAATAGGCAAAGTTCCTACCATGGGTGGAGTACGCCCAGAACACCATTTGTCACTCCTCCACAGGTATGATTTACCACAATTATATACCTGGAATGTAGGTACTGAATTCAGATGGTACAGGCAAATCGCTACCGCAGTGAGACACTGGTATTTCAACCAGGTGAAAGAGTTTGGCTTTCAACTCGTGACCTCAAGCTCAATCTGCAATGCAACATACTCAGCCCCTGGTTTGTAGGCCTGTTTAAGGTTATGAGGCAAATAAACCCTGTCACATACAAACTTTAGTTGCCCCATATTTTTTTGCCTTTTCTCCATTGTGATGTTTGTGTTTTTTTTTGTTTTTTTTTTACTTCAACTGCATGTTGTTGTCTGCTATTAAAAGGCACTACATTTGCATCCAGTCTCCTTCTCCTGTGACAACCCTTTTAGGTCTTAAAATTTTAGCACTCTGGTATAATACATAATGTGGTACCTTTCTGTATTATAATGACTATGTTTGAACCCTACTGTCAAGGGAATGCAATAAAGTGGCATTTTTTCCTCCCAAAGCTACACTAGCTTTTTTGTTTGTCACATGCAAAACTTGTCAAAGGACATTTGTTGATTTTCTAAATGAAAATTCATTTATTTAATATTAAGTAAAAACACTATCTACAGAGAACACATTTTTGCACAATCTATTGCACAATTACTGTTTATTTGCTGAAGTCTATACATTTGATAAATATGAAACAGAACATGTCTAATCTGTCCAAATCTGTTTTGCAAGAAGCATGAGGGAAATGCATGTTTTTTGCTTTAGATTATAAAAAATAAGAAGAAAAGTCAGGCAAAATGACTAAATTAGACAAATTTAAACACACTAATTTAAATACTACAACAGATGATAATCATGCTTGCTGGGATTTAAGATAACAGTCTTTAAAAAACAGCTTACAGCAAAAGTAGATGAAAAAAGGAAAAAATGAAGAAAAAATGGTTTTGTTGCAAAACTGATTAGTTTTGTTTGGCTAGTTTTGTTCTTTTAACTGTTACTGAACACGTCAGACAGTAGTTGAAAGCTTGTTTTCCCCAGAGGTGGTAAGAACTGTGCCTTGGACCTTGTTCTGGTCCTCCTCTTCTGCTATTGCATTCTCAATCTTGGACAGAAGCGCATAACATTGGTTCCTAAAGTCCTTCCCCATAAAAGCATAAAGAAACGGGTTCAGACAGCTGTTAGCATTAGCAAGAACAACAACAACTTCTGATCCTGACTGGTAAAAACTCTCATATTTTTCATAGTCTAGTCCCATCAAAGCAAAAGTGTTATAAGGCAGCCAGCAGACCAAGAAAGTAACAATCAGCACCGTCATGATCTTAAATGGCTTTTTGGACTTTGCCATCTGGTTGGACTTCAGCTTTCGAATGATGAAAATGTAACAGATGATAATGATCAGATATGGGATCACAAATCCAAATACGAATCTGCACATCACATCCACAATCTCCTGTTGATCATTCTTGTAATTTGGGTAACAAATCGTTGTTTGGGTGTTGTCATAATACAAAACATCCAAATAAAAGGCTGATGGTAGACTAAGTGCTGCTGACATGATCCAGGCTAGCATGACAATCACAGAGGCCTTTCTTACTGTGCGCTTGTTCTGAGCCCACACAGGAAACATAACAACCACACAGCGGTCCACACTGATGATGACGAGGAGAAAGATGCTGCTGAACCAGTTTAAGTACATGTTGAAGAATAATAGCTTGCACATGAAAAGCCCAAAGATCCAATCGTCTTTGACCGCATGTACAATACCCAAAGGCAGGGTGGAGCAGAGTATGAAATCAGACAGAGCCAGACTCAAGTACCAGGTAGAATTCACAGATTTCTTCACCTTAAACCCTGCAATCCAGATCACCAAACCATTTCCAGCAACACCCATGATGAAGATGATCACATTTGCTACTGCATAGAAGATGCATGACAGATCCATGCAAACTGGTGGAACTGTTGTCAGGCTTGTGTTGTCATAGTCTGGACTTTCTGGTTCTGTCATAGGGGTTGAATTCATGGTGCCTCTTATTTCTGCAAAGCAAGCACAAACAAAAAAGGTGTAATTGTTCTGATTCACAACAACCAGCTTGTATGCAACAAAATTCTTTTTGACTTTCTTCCTGAAGGCACATTCGCAAGGAGCCTACTGATAAATGAGAAGTATCATCCATGAAGATGAGATGAAAATAAAACAACAGCATTGTAACCATTCAGCAAAGCAGGTAACTGCGGACTACCTCTATAACCACCTAGTGGGTAGTTTGAGCAGTTTTCGGAGAGGCACTGGCATAGCAATTTTTTAGTATAGTTCAATATCAGCTTGCCTCCCTAGTCAAGACTGCCTTGAAGGTCATAGTGAAAAAAGAATTTGCGGAGGAAAATACACTACAGTGTGTAATAGATGAGTACTCAGAAATCTCTCTGGTAGAAACTGCACACTGCATGTATGAACAAGAAACAATTTCTATCATGGTTTGTGCTTTAGACCCCTTCCCCAAGTGGATGAGTCTGATGATTGTGACCTCTTGAAAGACTATTTAAACAGAGCTCAGCCAAAACTTTGTGAAGGATGTACCTTCTGAGGATCTAAGTGAATGACATGTTATTGTCATCATATCTTTATCAGTGTAATGATAATATTTAAAAATGTCGACTTGCCCATGCAAACCATATTCTATAGTGTTTTTTCTCCTTCCTGAGTAATATTATTTCTCTCAACTTTGACAAAAGTCTTACATAGTGTAGCTTGAGTTAGTTGTAATTCATTGCTATACTCAAAGGAGCACTCTAACCAAAATGCAATGTAACTATTTCTACATTTGTTGTACTTATGCCTATTCACCCCCTGCAGTGGTGTAGTAGTTGTCTCGTGCATGAATTCATCTAGTTTAAAGACTAGAACATCTAAGCATTCAACGACAAAAGGTACAAATCTCAATGAAAAATGTTCTTCTTTTTTTGAAGAAAGTTTTAGTTTTCACACATTTGTTTTTATTAAAGCGTCCAGTATCTATGCTAAATCATTTTGTGTGCAAGAAAGAGTATTGCCTATTAGTTGCAACAGAACGGGGATGTTGGATGCAGTGTTTTTACACTAGGCAAAGGTAGGCACCCGCATTGTGCCCCCAGGAGCCAAGGGCCCCATTAAAATATAAATTGCATATACTTTACGTGTTTATGTTAAACATTAATTTTGAAATATATCCTTTTTAAAAAGTAGCTATTATTTGTGATTATAGTGATTATTTTCAGTACTTTCATCGCAGCTCCAATGCTTGAACATTATTAAAATTACTATTCCATGTTGTGACATGACGACACAATTGCATGATGACAGACTAGTCTGAACAAGGCAATTAAGTGATAATCTAAAAAATGGAGAGGAGGATCTTTTGTATGATTTTAAGCGTTGAAAGGGAAAATCACATAAAGTCTTAAAAGTGCAGCAAAGAAATGGAACAGCAAAAAGAAAGAAACCAAAAATTGCTACAGTCCCAAAGCAAATTGTTTTTTTTCAGTCAGAATAGAGTGCTGCACAGACTAAGTAACTGTACACAATGCTAGCGTTAATGTTAGGACAGACAGGTACAGTGTTGGGATAAATAAAGGTTAATCCTTAATTTTTTTTAAATGTCATGGCATTATATTATTTATTGCTTCTTGGAAATCACCTATTACATTTACCTTACTCTGTACCAAATTATTTCACAATATTAAAAGATTTGTTTCAAATATATATTTTTTTTTAGTGAGTTAATTTCATGTAATCAACTTTAAGTGAAAAATGTATAGAAATAAAGAAAATAAAATTATAGTTTCCTACAGCAATCTCAGATATCTACCAAGATATCCTACAGCTATACATATCTGGAAGCCCAAGAGGAGAAACTGTCATAGAAGGATTCTTTGCAAGAATCATTACCTTAAGTGAGAAACTAGAAATGAGAGCTAGCAAAACTTTTGACTAAACTGAGAAGTTTAAGTTGGGTGTTCTCAAGTTTTATTACATACTTCTATAACCTGCGAATAGCTCAACCAGCTTTTCAATGTCTGAATCAAATGACCTGATTAATTTAATTTGTGCGGAGTTATTATGTCATCCAACTGTTGCAGTAAGCAAATTATCATGATCTGATGCACAACACTTGCTATCAGGATTTTAAAAAAACAACTTACCTGCCAGTGCCTGTTTTGATGTGGTGCTGCAGAGCTGGTGGTGTTGCTTATGATGAGTGGTACATTTTTTGTCAGTAATATACTGCAGCATTCAGTTCCTCTCTGTGCTTACCTCAGATTTCACAATTCAAAAGCCCACTGTTGTGGCCTTACGTCCACCACCCACCAGTTTGGCAAGTGGCCTCAATGGAGGAACAGGTTAAATAAATGCATGCTATGGTGTATCTTGGAGCACACAGCAGATGGAAACTTTACAACCAGCCTTGTTTATATCAGTCATTCAAGATTTATTTAGACATGAGTACATCGAGAACATTTTGCAATGTGGCATAATTAGCATAATTAATGACACAAAGGGACTAAAGTTAAAACTGAGTTTAAGCAAATAACAACTAAAGCCACTTAATGAGTCAACTTATGAAATAAAATAATGAAGTTGAACAACTAAGAAAGATTTCTGCAGCTCTATATTCACATATGGTTGGTAGATTTGTTTCATCCACCAGACACTGTGGCTGGTTACCCAACATAAGCTCTATAAGATCAGCTTAGACTGATGATAATGTTGTCAAAGCAAAAACTGAGTGCTGCACGTAAGAGGAACTATCCAAACAGAAGCAATATGCAGCATGAAAACTGCACACTGACTGGGCATCACTGTAATTTAGCTTTTACTAACTTATCTATTATTGTAACTTAGACTGATAATCAGTTAAATCTGCCTTTATGGATTCATTCAGGTTGATTAGAAAGTAGTTGGGACCGAAATTAAATGTGCAAATTTAATTTGGTTTATGCTGGTTGGATGCTGGTCTGGTGTTTAATTTGCTGGTCACCCAGATTGATTATGCTGGTTGAACACAACATCCAAAACACTACATACACTGGCTTTGCTGGTGATCAGTATATTAACTTTTATTGCTGCTGACCAGCAGACTAGCATACAACATACCCTGGTTTTGCTGTTGACTATCCATGCTGGTCTATGGATTTACACTGCTGGTTAAAAGTTTTTGAACCCGTCAGAATTCATAAGATTTTCACACAAGTCCTAATAGTAGATAAACAGAACCAAATTAAGCAAATGGGACAAAAAATATTAGACGTGGTTTTTTATTTATTGAGGAAAACGACCCAGTATTACACTACACTTGTGAACATCTGATGAAGTTCTGGGTCAAATTTATGCAGAAATATAGAAAATTCTACAGGGTTCACAAACTTTCAAGCACCACTGCATGTGAAAGAATTTCACTTAGTTTATTGTACTGCATCATACTACACATTGTACTCTTTCACTGGGTAGCGTTTTAACCTATTCTGTAACATGCTTCCCAGTGAGAGAGGCAGTGGTTTGTTAGACAGCTGCCTCCAAAATGGAATGCACTACTACACTGGCTTACCTAGCACAAATGTTAAAATACCACAATGTTAAGGAGAAACTAGTGTGCTACCAGAATGTGAATTCATGACTAGGATTTATTTACATACTTTAGTATGGTGACCACTAAGCATTATGAATTTGGCCCAAATATGGTTTGTATTTGAATGAACAATGACTCAGCTTTCAACAACTGCTCTGTACAGTGCTGCAGAGCTAGGAGTTTTGTCCTTATGATGAAGGACAAATAAAACATTGTGACATTCAGTTCTTCTCTGTGGCGGCTTTAGTTCTATAAGAGTTGCAAACCACACATCCCTCTCTGTCAAAGCACATCCACTGCACAGTTGGGCAAGACTTTTCTCAAATGAAACAAAAAGACAGAATCAATTTGACAACAGCAATACAATAAAACTCGAGAAAACTAGAAAAATACTTTCCCTGAAGAAAATATGAACTGATCACACAGCTTAATGTTTTCCAGGTGGTTGCAAGGGTTGGTTTATAAGGTGTTCTTGCTAGGTATTTTTTTTTATGAAGAGTTGCTAAAGTATTGCAAGTGGTTTCTAGAGTGTTGCTGGTGACAACATAGGAAGGGTGTACAAATCTTTGGCCACATAGTGTACAGTGATTGCTGTAATGACTGCTGCAAAAAAGGCCCTCATAAAAATATATATATATTAAAAATCAGATCTTTCAGTGAAATTGGCTTGGCAAGACTTACAAAATAAGCAATAATATCTACAGTATTTGGACAAAAGTATTGGGACACCCCTCCTAATTACCTTGTTCAGGTGTTTCAGCCACATCCATTGCTAACTGTTGGATAAAATTAAGCACATAGCCTTGCAGTCTCAATAGACAAACACTGGCAGTAGAATGGGTTGTACTGATGAGCTCAGTGACGTTAAACATGGTGCTGTCACAGGATGCCACCTCTGCCACAAGTCACTGTGTGAAATTTCTTTCCTGCTAAATCTGCCCCTGACAACTGTAAGTGCTATACTGTGAAATGGAAGCAGCTAGGAGCAACAACAGCTTAGCCACAAAGCATTAGACCATGCAAGCTCACAGAGTGGGGCTGCCAAGTGTTGAAGCGCACACTGCCTATCCTCGTTTGAATCACTCACTAAAGAGTTCCAAATTTGCCTCTGGAAGCAACATCAGAAAAAGAACTGTGCATCAGGAGCTTCTCAAAATGGGTTTCCATGGCAGAGCAGCTTCACACAAGCCTAAGATCAAAATCACGATGCCAAGCATCGGAAATGTATTCAGTGGAGTGATGAATCATGCTTCTCTGGCAGTCTAATGGACGAGTCTGGGTTTGGTGAATGCCAGGAGAACGTTACCTGCCTGACTGCATTGTGCCAACTGTAAAGTTTGGTGATGGAGGGATAATGCTATGGGGTTGTTTTTCAGGGGTTGGCCGAGGACCCTTAGTTCCAGTGAAGGGAAATCTT